CTCTCTCGTCAATCCATGTCTATGGTCTTTAAGATAACTTGTTATGTAAACTTATTTATTTATCTAAGATGCACCTACACTGAATTTATCTGAAAAATAAAAAAACTCGATATTAAGAAAAAAATTGTAAATGGAAGCTTATAAGAGAGGGTTTTGCGTGCCAGCAAAAGTTAGTGGCGTGCCATGTTTGGCATGCGTGCCAGGGGTTGCCCACCCTAGACTAGGTGGATTTGGTGCTGGTCTCCTTAGATTTATTTATTTATTAGCCTACAGTCCGATGAATGGCTGCCCGGTTCCGACTGTCCTCGCTCAGGCCTGACCGTTGCTGCTGGAAGTGGGCTGGAGAACATGGCCTCTCGCGTTTTGGAAGCTAGAGCATCTTCCTGGTAGCATGGCAGCCTCAGGCGGCATTCTGAGGGGGCTCCAGTGCTTGCTGTCAAACCTCTGCTTGCTTTGCAGTTGCTGATTTCCAGCTGGCCACAGCAAGTCTCAGGACCAGTTCTAGAGTCACTGTGGGTGTGGCAGACTACGCCTTGGTGGGGGAGGAGTAGCAAAGAATTTGTGGCCATTTCACAAGCCCAACCTTGCTTGCTCTGCTTCTTGGGCTAATACTGGGCCTGGAAAGAAAAGGTTCTGTTGGTTGCTCCTGTTTCCTGTATCACTGATACCTTCTGTAGTCCAACTTATGAGCTGTTAAGGAATTAGAGATATTTTTGTTTGAATTAAAAATTGGAGAGAAGGGTAATAGCTGCTTTTATCTATCTGAGATCCTTCTTGTGAGGGAGGGACTGGTTCCCGGGTGTGGAAAATGACGGGAGAGCAGATGCTCCTCCCTTTGAGGAAGGCTTGCCATGTGAGATGGTGAGTTTTACTCCCCGTCCCCAGCCTGCTGCGTTGTTAGAAGCAGTAAAGCAGGAGTCGGGCAAGCACACACCTGGGGCTTTGAGGGAGCATTTTTCTTACTGACTCACATGATTCCTGTGGGTATAAAAAATCTCTGATTCTGGAACTCGGAAAGTCCATTGTGCTTCGTGTACGGAGAGAGGGGATGAGGCTGGGTGATGCTAGGGAAGGAAGTACTGTGGGCAGAGTGGAAGAGCTGCCACGCACAGCCTTTGAACTTACTTGGTGTAATAGCTCAGCTTTCCCTGCTGGAGCCCTGAGAGCTGGTGCAGGGTTGCTGTGCAGAACGTCTCTCTTTAGCAGTGTCAGGGGGTGCTGCACCTGGAAGGCAGGCTTTCTATGGGTCTTCTTAGGTTAGATTGAAAGGAATTGACGTAGGAAGTACGTGTGTACAATTGCTTCAGCAGCTGTAGATTAAATGGTCAGCTTTTTCACTTAATGAAAAGGATTGTGGTACTTTTCCTGTATCATGTGTTTTGCCCTACCCCAAACATGATTTTGAGGTCTCCTGCTTTTATAACAGTACCAGGCCCATGTGGAGCGATTGTCTGCCAGTGGAGAGCTCCATGTCAGTAACTGATCGGAATATGAGCCAATTTCCTTCTTTCCTTCATTACTTTCTTTGTTGTGGAGGGGATGTGTAAAGGCTACCGCTCAACTGTTGTAAAGCTGCTAAGCAAGAAGTTTGATGTAGGGACTGGCTTTGACTTCTAATGTTACCAGACTGACCACTTTGGTCAATGGTGTTTCTATGGAGCCCACCCCATATCCAGCCCTTGGTTTTTTGGAAAACTGAGAGGAAGGCAATAAGACACAGAATGGTGTTAAGTTTTTGGTGGGAAACAACATTTAAGCTACAAATAAACAAGCCAGCTAAAGCAGAGAGTGCTTTGCTGACTGGTACATTTATAAGCTGGAAAATTGTGACAAACCTCAACCCACCAACTGTGTAGCCCATTGGCTCTGCTTGGGCCTTCAGTGTTCTTCCTGATAACAGTAGTAACCATGGCCCTGGCCCGTGTGCTGGTTGGTTGGGTGAATGGTCGCTGGTTAGATTCCTGATTGGGGCACATGCCCAAGTTGTGGGCTTGATCCCCAGTAGGGAGTGTGCAGGAGGCAGCCGATCCATGTTTCGCTCTTAATGGATGTTTCTCTCTCCCTCCCTCTCCCTCTCCCTCTAAAAAATCAATTAAAAAAATCTTAAAAAAATAATGATTATGTTTTTCTGATATGATTGCCGAGCATTCCTGATTCTCATTTCCACTTGCCATTATAAATGATTCTGCAGCATGAACTGCTTTGTCTTTGATTCAGTGTTTTATAACATTTGAGTGTTACATTATCTGTGCTGATTTGTCGTTTTCTTACTTTTCAGAATGACTGCTGAATTATGAAGTATTTCAGACCCAATACCAGGACTGCACTCTGCCATTCACTCCTTTATCGTCTACTAGTTATTTAAATTGAACTTTTAATATCCTGCCAGCTGCTCTTCAGACACACATGGTGCATTGTTGCCATTCCCCGGATTGCATCTTTGAAACACAGGCTCTTAGTAACCCTCAGCGAACAAAGAGGCAACCTCCCGGGTACACTAACTGGGAGGGTGTCACCCTGACTGCCCTCTAGCTTTTGCTGCATCTCAATTTGAATTCACCATGGAGCCTCGCATGGAGTCCTGCCTGGCACAGGTGTTGCAGAAGGATGTGGGGAAACGACTGCAGGTTGGCCAAGAACTCATAGACTATTTCTCAGACAAACAGAAGTCTGCTGACCTTGAGCATGACCAGACCATGTTAGATAAACTTGTGGATGGACTCGCTACCTCTTGGGTGAACTCTAGCAATTACAAGGTAAGCTGTGCATTAGAAGGCACTCCAGGTGGTTGGGCTGCCTTCGTGGATCCGAATTGGTCCTTAGGAAAAAAATCTTTGTGAGCAATCAGCATGATTCCTTGGCTTCCAGTAAGACACCTGGTCAGGTTATGGCTCCTAGACATATCATTATAGAAGAAGGAGAGTTTCCTTTGATTTTTGTTTGAGATCAAGAATTATTATCTTTCAGCACTTTGAGAGAAGGCCAAGTGAACCGGTAAAGAGAAGGTCTTAATGTTGGAAAGCATTTGCAGCGTTAGGGTAGAAGTGAATGTTGTGCCCTGCACCGGGTGGGTCATGATACCTTGGTGAGTGGTCCTTCCTGAATGAGGAATGTCTTCCTGATTTTCTCGGGGACTGTTCTGTGTGATGGCCTGGAGCTTATACTTCAGTTCTAAAAACCAAGGCTTTCCGTGCCCTTGCCCGGTGGAAGGTGCAGGCAGGGTCCTCTGACCAGCTGAGTTGTGAAGGTTGACCATATATACCAAGGACTGAGTTTTTGTGAATAAAAACTGGACTGGACTTGAAGTGCAGAAGGGGTGTCTTGCTCTCTCTGCCTCCCCCCTCCCATGAAATGCTTTTAGTTTGAAAAGAGGGTGGCCTTTTTGGGTCAAGGTTGTATTGCCAATAGGTGCTGTAGTCATTGTGAAAGGGGCTTACAGAAACAGAATCTTTTGTGCTTTTTCATTGATCCAGTCTTCTGAGATTTATTTGGACTTGAAAACTAGTGCTTACAGTATTCCTTTGTTTACTTTAGTGAACTATGCACTGTTTTCCAAATACATTACACCTTGGTGTTGTCTAAGAGTCAGCAGGCTTATACTTATTAAGAGTGTTACATAGGAATTTAATATTTCACCTACAACTGGATATAAAATTTACTTAAAAGCTGGGCTTAAATTCTACTCCATCCATCTGTTTATTCACTTAGTTGAAGTTAACAAGTGCTCCTTCCCTGCAGGCATTGGTGCTGAAGATAGGAGTGTCAGAGTTGAGAGATCTGACTTGAGTCTTCACACTTTTGAGGGCTGTGAAGTCACCTGTGCATGTTGGAAGCATAGCCCACCTCTCTTTCTCTGTACGTGTTAGGGTGCTTCTAGCTGACCGTAACCAAAAGTGGACTCAGTTGACTTAGTTACTATTAGAGTAATTTCCTCTAAGAATTTAAGAAGTCCACAGTGTCAGGGAAGAAGAGTGCCTGCTGTGTCTTCACCTGAGACGAAATCTTTCTTAGACGCTCCCAGCAGACTGTACATCACAGAACGGCTTTGCGTGCTTCCCCCAGCATCACTAGAAAATGGGTGGTGTCCATGCTTGCTTTTGACTGTCATGCTTAACCTCCTGTGTTAAGAAGGCGGCCGGCCTCCGCTGAATGAAGCCCTGGCCGTGTGAAAGGGGAGTTTGTGAACAGTGTCAGACTCCTGTGAGGAAGGTTAGGCAGGGCACCTAGGTACCGTGGGTGTTAACTGAGTAACCTGCAGTCGCTGCACTGCATGAGCTTTCTCAGCCTCTCCACGCTTTAGTGTCCTCGTCCATAATGTGGGATGATCGAGTTATTGTAAGCACTAAATGAGAGCATACACCATAACCTTATCACATGCCTGCCACGTAACACACACTCAGACATTAACAGTTGTTATCAAGACTGGTTCCTGTCTTCAAGGAGCTCAGAGTCTAGGTGGGGGTGAGCACTGATAAAGAAGCAAATGGTTACAGTATAGTGTGTGCAGTAATGGAGATTCCCAGGATTTGGTGGGAAGACAGAAGAGAGTAGTAGTGCTGCCAGGAGGAATCCAAGATTTTGAAGATTGACTAGTTTTTTCAGAATAGCACTTGCAAGTAGAGTTTCTCTTTAATTCACCTTGGAGCCTCGCATGGAGTCCTGCCTGGCACAGGTGTTGCAGAAGGATGTGGGGAAATGACTACTCGTTGGCCAAGAGTATTATACACTATTTCGCAGACAAACAAGGTGACATTTTCTGGGCTGTGGCAGCTCGAGGGAATGAGGGAAACTTTCCTACTTAATCTCGAAAACTTTTATTCAGGCAACACTGCAGTCACCTGCACACTTAGTGGGCCTTGTGCAAACAAACACCAGTGTTTTTTGTGAGTATAGTCCCATAGCCCTTTCTTCAGTTTTAGAATCCCCAAAGCTCTGGAGATTTAGTGTTTTTTACTTGTCATTTGATTTGAAGTGAACTGAGGTGCAACTGTTACAGTATAGTCTTTATTTGTTTAGAATGTATTTCACTGCAAAAGTATGAATATGTTTGATTGTGGGTTGCTGTCCCAAATTCTGTTCAAAGGTGTGCACACACACACATATGTATGTATGTGTGTGTGTGTATATATATGTGTGTGTGTGTGTATATATATATATATGTATTTCTATAGCTATGTGCACTGTTTTAACTTGAAAAATTCTGATCTTTAGTATTTTGGATCCATCATTGAGGACCTGTATTAACATTGTGGAATAATAATAATAATAGCCTAGATGGTTATGGGACATTTACTATGTACCCAGAAAGTGTGCTAAATATATGTTCCTTTTTAACTTATAATTACCACTAGTAGCCCGGTGCATGAAATTTGTGCACATTTGAAAAGGAATTAATTAGAGGAACATAATTTGGACTCACTATCTAGTATCAATAATATGTGAGTGTGAGGCAGTCCACGTTTCTGAAATTCAATGACATGAATTTTAGCTATTACTTTGCCAAAGAAATGGAATTTACAGATGTTATTTAAAAGAGCATTCAATTTAATATTAAAAACTCTGGCTACCAAGTCAGGTCTGTTTTTAATTTTTTGCCAGTGTTGTAAATTGTTTGCAATATCTGCCCATTTGGTGTTGCACGTCATGGATATGAATATATCAGGCTTGCCATACTTCGTTACATTTGTCATAGCCTCCTGATATCGCCGCTGCATATTTCTGGGACTAACCTCAGAAGATGATGGAAGTATTACCATTTTACCAATCGGCACCTTGTCATTTTCAGATCTAGAGTTGAGATAATCCATCAAACCAGTATATTTCTCAGCTCTCAACTTAGATTGGTTTGCTTTGATGAAATTCATCTCATTGGCCTCCATTTTTGAATATGAATCTATGATAAACTGTTGAGTTAATTTTCCTGCATTTAAAATAGGATTGAACGTGTCCCGCACAGAGAGATGAAATCCATAATACTGCATTTGTGTGACTCGTGTCCTTACATTTTGTCTAGTATTATTGTCAATG